AGGTCTCAGACGTTTACCACTTCGGTGAAACCCACGAGCACGGGTATGGTGCTGACAAACCTAGAAACATAATCGGGGAGAACCGGGATTCGAACCCACAATCATAGGTTTCTGGCGTGTCCAGGGGACGCAACTCTGCACAGCGAATCGCGGCGCCTTAAACGACTGGGCCACCCGTGCCCCCTGATTCCATTACAAAGAATGTGGTGCTTGCATGGTTTCAGTTGTGTATGAAATAGAATATATACTGGAAGACTTTTTCATCGTGTCTCAATTTGCATTCGGACAATATCCATCACTACGTTATTCAACTTGGCAACCAGAATAATCTTATATAAACACGTTGTTAATGGTAGTTCAGCGAGAGTGGCATGTATTTGTCACATACAGTTGAGCAGTATAGCAATTTCGTTCCGATGAATAGACATTAAGGGAGTACTACCACACCATGTACAACTGAACACATTTGTGAATAGGATAATTTAGCTTAATCGTAAATGGTATTGGGCATCCAATAGTGTATTTCTCAATTTACCACTAATGCATTTCTCAATTTTACATTATAACGCATTTCTCGCTTGACTGCATAAAGTGAGTCATAAGATGGGTCGGATGCAACCATGTTTAATTAAGGAAGTTGCAGAACATCGAAATAAGAAAATTGGTTCTGATTAATAATGTTTTCCTTGTGCCCAAAACCTGTGTTTGAGACATGACCCTTTCTTTCAATTGTATTGTACAAGAAGACATTATGGCATAAATAACCACATATTTGATGTGTCTAGATACACGAATGCCTTCTCAGTGTCACCAAGTCGGGGTTCATGATCACGTCCTATATATATATTATTCAAACCATGAACAGGAGAAGTGGCAATGTGATAAACCTTGCCCGACGATGTTTTTTCAGCTATGATTACTTGGGGAAGGCAGTCATCTTCGTGCGGCGATTTGTAGTCGTTCACAGCAATATAATTTGTCTTCCAGGCGAGAGCAGGACATAAGAGGTCGAGGTTAATTCTCCAAATAATAGGGAAAGAGATTGGTTGTAGGTTTACCAAAGCCCCTGACTATCATGAGGTGGGCTGATTGTGGCTTCAGGTTGGGGACAATTCCACTGAGCTTAGTTGAAGGAAGGAAGCGGTCGAGAAGCCAGCGAGATGAGGAGACAAATGCCCGTATAGCTGGATTAGCGTTATGAAATACGTTGACAGGCGCGTTGGATTGGGTTATGCCAGCGTCGTGGAGATGCTAGCTATAGGGTAAGGCAATATGCCCCGTTGCTAGTTTACTGCTGTTCATAGGTCACTGTAAGAGTGAGTGAGTGAGTTGGGTTTATCGCCGCTTTTAACAGTATTCCAGTTATATCGCGGCGTGTCAGCTTAATATGGGAGGAAAGCCCGAAGTGATGCAGGTCTCAGGCGTTTACCACTTCGGTGAAACCCACGAGCACGGGTATGGTGCTGACAAACCTAGAAACATAATCGGGGCGAACCGGGATTCGAACCCACGATCATAGGTTTCTGGCGTGCCCAAGAGACTCTGCACAGCGAATCGCGGTGCCTTAGACGACTGGGCCACCCGTGCCCCCTGACCACCGTAAGAAACATGTTCGTAGGTTAATAGTGGATGAGTGGGTTAGAAATAGGTAGGTTGGATATAGCATTATCTAACGAAGTTGTATAAATGGATACTAGGTAGAGGGTGGATGGGACGGTGGATTAGTGGGTTCCGGGTTTGTGGTACGGCGTAGGTTGAGGGATGAGGGTGTACGTGGCGGGCAGGTGGTTGATGTGGATGGTGGATAGGTGAATTAGTGCTTAGATGAATTGAAGGTCAGGTTGGTTGTTGGTTGGTGGGTTTGTTGTTTTACGCCGTTCTCAGCAATATTCCAGCTATATGACGGCGGTCTGTAAATAATCGAGTCTGGACCAGAAAATCCAGCGATTGACATCATGAGCATCGATCCACGCAAATGGGATCAATAACATGCTTCAACCAAATCAGCGAGCCTTACCACCCGATCCCGTTAGTCGCCTCTTACGACATGCATAGTTGCCTTTTACGGCAAGCATGGGTTGCTGAAGACCTATTCTACCTATATCTTCACGGGGATAAGATGAGTTGACAAAGTGGTGGATTAGTGGGTAGATTGATAAGGAGGTGAGTAAGCGTTAGGATAATAAGGGCAGATGCGTACAAGTGGTGGATGGGTGGAGTATGATAATCTACATACTGAATTTTTTCAAACAATTTATTTCAGAAAGTACGGTGAGAGTTGAAAGAAAAAGCGAACAGATAATCCCCATGTGTTCCGATAGATACCCTTAATGTATCTGGAGGTGAGGGTTTTAATTCGAAAAAACAAGAGAATTGTGAATTTCAGGTAAAAAACTTATACATTCAAATATTTCAGATTTATAAGTTTCCATTTCAGTGGAAGAAACGCATGAGGAACAAACGTTGTCGTGAAGTGCTTTCAAGACCAAGTAGGTTTTCCAGTGAGTGTCAAGATAAGCCTCTGCTTAAAGGATAACTTTTTATACTTTCAAAAAATGGTTCTATACACTTAATTCATGCTATTCTTATGGATATCGCAGCTCTTCTTTCAATAACGCCAGAAATGCATTATTCGGAACACTGCAAAATCATTCGTCATCATTCGTACAAACGAGGGGCGGTCGGGTAGCCTGGTGGGTAAAGTGTTTGCTCGACACGCCGAAGACCCGGGTTCGATTCCCAACATGGGTACAATGTGTGAAGCCCATTTCTGGTATCCCCGCAGTGATATTGCTGGAGTATTGCTGAAAGCGGCGTAAAACCCTACTCACTCACTCAATCGTACAAACGAAATAATATATCCAGTGATCTGACATTTTCTACATATACAACGTTATACTCTTTAAGTAACACACCTTACTGCATGTATGTCGTTCAACAAAAAATTAAGTTGAACTACTTGGAATATATTATTGGATGATTGTTTGTTGTTGTTTAACGCCGCACTCAGCAATATTCCAGCTATATGACGGCAGTCTGTAAATAATCGAGTCTGGACCAGACACTCCAGTGATTGACATCATGAGCATCGATCAACGCAATTGGGATACGATGACGTACATCACCCAAGTCAGCAAGCAAGACCACACGGAAAGCATGGTTGCATTTTACGGCAAGCATGGGTTGCTGAAGACCTATTCTAACCCGGATCTTCACTGGTATATCATTGGATGTAGGTGATACAGTAGAATATTATCTTCTTTACATGGGTATGTAAGTGAGTTTGGTTGAGGTCCGTTTAAGTATTTCAATATTATCACGACGTTTCACCTTGACGTGGGAAGAACCCCCGTGCAGCTTGTTCTAGAATCCACGGCCTCAAACCTAGAAAAGTAATCTCCGAATCTTGGATTCGAACCAACGACCATGTGGCAACTCATACGACCGGCCAACCGTGCACCCTCGAGGCCACCGCGGTGAATATGTTTATGTTTTATAAATTCTACAGTTATTTGACATTGTCTACAATCCACATACTCATCGCAGAGGGCGGGTTGTCAAGGGAATGAGAGAACGACTGAACAAACAAAGCTTTCTTGAAGCATTCATGAAACAAGGTTTCTTTAAGTAGATGTATGTGGCGTTTGTATGTCTGTTGCATCTAACTCATAACGTTTTATTCGCTGCTATTAGTTAGTATATGCAAGAGTCTACCAACATCCCGGTTCATATCATGCAGTTCCATTAGTTTGAGATATCGAAAGAAAACACCAAGTTGTGTAACCCCAGTCACAGAATACTAAGTATACAGTTGTAGACGGTAACTTCCTGGGCTGTGCTGTGGTCGGCGTGCCAACGAGGCACGAATCGTATTCTGTTGCAAGGCAGCTTTACACGCCGGATTTGAACCGATGGAATTTCCATTAGTTGTGATGCAGTTTGATAGAAATGCTCAATAGACGTTGCAATCCTTTTAACGAGACTCAGGCAGAACTCCAAGGCCGGGGAACCATTGCCCTGTGTTGTGTGTGGATCAACTGCGTTCCTTGCAGAATTAGGTATCCATGAATAAAATAATAACAAATCAGTCAATAATTAAGATTTCTTTGAATTGATCAATAGAGCGCTGTGTCCAAAATACGTAACGTATGAGGGTATTATGTTAAAGATACGGTTTTTGCAGAAGTCGCTTGGATGCATGGGGAATGGTGACGTTGTGGTCGCTGGAGTGACCATTGCAATGTTATTACCGGTTTCTGTTTGACAGGTGGGCATTGCGGTAGGATTACGGGATGGTTGGCGTTGAGTGTTTGTTGTTTAGTAATTTGTGTACAGTATATGTGCTTGGCACCCGGGCTATGCAAACAGGATAGATCTGGGTATGCAAAAAAATAGTTCGGATACATTGAGATTCATTGGTGCTCAAAACCGTTTTTTGAAAAAAGTAAAAAAAATGATGTGACGGTTAGAAGTGAGATGAGGTGAAATTTGGTTTAACGTCGCGTCCATGATAATTGCCCTGATATAGTGTGTGTGTGTGTGTGTGTGTGTGTGTGTGTGTGTGTGTGTGTGTGTGTGCCTAATTCATAAACCAAGCCACGTTACATCCTTCTTTCCTGCAAAATCATAAGTGAGATGAGGTGAAATGGGGTTTAACGTCGCGTCCACACGTGTGGGTATGTGGCTGCTTGTACTAGTCTGGACTGATGCCGATTTATAGTGCTAGCTTACTGAGATACCATGCCCCAGTTAAACATGAATACCCCACTCAGACACAGTATACTGACTCCGAGCCGACCAGTCCTTGTTTTAGCCCCTTAAAGCCGAGCGCCAGACAGGGTAACAACAAGTACCGTCTTTTAACGTCTCTTGGTATGACGCGACCGGGGATCGAACCCCGGACCTTCCGCTCTCCGGGCAGAGGCTAAACCACGGAGGCGGTCTCAGACGGTTAAAGATGTCATCAAGTCTAAAAGTGTGATACACCGTAACGCCCTTACCTGAGCCTTGGTTTGTTCGCCGACAAGGATGACGTCTCTTGTGGCGTCGTGGATGGGAATGTCGGAGATGTAGATGCCCTTGCCTATCAGTTCATCCAGTTTTTCTACGCTAGGCGATCCAATGAACATGATGGCGTCGGCTGCTGGCAGATAGATCATCTGTCCTTTTATGTCCATGCTCTGAATGGGACACATTAACGTTAAGGCACCTTTAGATAAATATTCAAGATCATCGATTTCGGTTACATTTGTTTTGGCTTGCCATTAGAACATTATGACCTCTGTTATCCATAAAAAATGTCCCTCTTCCGTTAACAAAATGTGCAGAAATTGACATTTTGTTAGATAACCAGTTTCCAAAAAGTTTCTCATATTTGTTTCCGCCTTCGTAGAGTACGGAAACCTGAATGATGAGGTGTAGCTTAAGTACGAGTTATTACCATTATTGGATTCTAAGCCTAGCCCTACCCTAGCCCTACCCTAGCCCTACTCTACCCTACCCTATCCTACCCCTAACCTTATTCTACCCTTCCCCTAACCTTATTCTACCGAGCCGTACTCCACCTTTATCCCTAGCCCTTACCCCAACCTTGACCCTAACCCTAACCTTTACCCTAACCCTGACCCTAACCCTGACCCTTACCCTTACCCTAACCCTAACCCTTACCCTTACCCTAACCCTAACCCTGCCCTGCTGACGAATCCCACGTATGAGTCATTATAATGTTACGATATAACAAGGAATAAATCGACATTTAAATGATTGAGATGTTGTGGTGAGCTACATGGATTGTAATTACTGATTCGCATATCATTTGTTATTACTTTGCCCTGATTCTCACAGAAGACGTAGCATGGCGCATAAGTGTTTTATACACTGCACAAATGTACCCTCGCTCACTCAAAGTAGCAAAGTGTGTAACGTGTTCACCCACACCGAAGATTTCTGTTCGCCTCCCATATTGTTTTCATGCTAATTCTGGATTGTCCCCAACCTGATAAATACAGCCTCAACAAAGTCCTCATGAGACGAGTATTGAAAAAAGGATATTGATACTTAATTCACTTAATTTTATATTACCAACCGGCAGCATGAGGTAGGAATGCGTTAGTTCAACGCGGCTTTAAACAGCATTAAACTTTCTAATGGCACGTCCGTTTAATGTCGGATCCCAAAGTGATGTACACGTTTACCACTTAGGCGAGATCCTTGAGCATGGTGCTGTCAAACCAAGACTCATATTCAGGACGAATCTGGGATTCGAACCCATGATCAAAGGTTGCTAGCATTATGGCATCTTAGTCAACCAAACACGCGTGTCTCCCAACCCCCACTCCATGCCCACGGCGAAAATAATTGATCGAAGTGGCAGCTGTGGTGTTACAAGGCTTTGAACAATAGAGTGAGTGAGTGAGTTGGGTTTAACACCGCTTTTAACAATATTCCAGTTATATCACGGCGTGTCAGCTTAATGTGGGAGGAAAGCCCGAAGTGATGCAAGTCTCAGACGTTTACCACTTCGGTGAAACCAAAGACCACGGCTATGGTGCTGACAAAGCTTGAAACATAATCGGGGCGAACCGGAATTCGAACCCACAATCATAGGTTTCTGGAATTGAACAATAGAGTGAGTGCGTTTAGTGTACCGCCGCTTTTATGGGTATTTCAGATATACCACGGTGTGGCAGCTTGATGTAGGAGAAAAGTGTCTGGTGATGAAGGCTTTGACGTTAATTCCTTCAGTTGAACCCATAAGCACGGTTATGGTGCTGAAAAGCCTTGAAACATAATCAGGGGCGAATCTGGGATTCGAACCAACGATCATAGGTTTCTGGCACGCATAAGGGATGCTACTCTGTATAGCGAATTGCAGCGCCTTAGACTACCGTGCCAACCGTTACCCCTCAAAGGAAAATATGTACTCACCTTGGAGGTTTTTGTCAGAAGCAGGAAGCTGAAGTTTATACGTGACAGGAGCGCAGAAAAATTCATTTTGACTTCCGGTCGAAGGATTTCAAAGTACGTTGAGAGTTCTAATCCCTTTGTGGCCATTTCCGGTGCTATTGTCTTCATGAAGGCGCTGCCAAGCTGTGTGATCTGAAGGTCACGGTCAAACACCACGTGGAAAGGGAAGGTTCGGCAGAAGGTCGCCACGCCTATCTGAGAGTCGGACGGATTGGCGGAGACCGTATCTTGGATAGCACCGGTACCTAATGTATTGTTACTGTCGTTGTTGTTGGTAATGATGGTGATGATAAAGATCTGATGAGGAGAGTCTGGTGAGCGATTGGGAGACACTTTTATTTCCACCTCCATTGAGAACCGAACCTTGGCTACGGCAGTAATGGTACCTAACATCATGTGCAACAGCTTACGTCGACTGGAGTAGTAGTGAATTAACAAAGTGTTGCGGTCATATTCACATCGAAACGAAGCTGGTGTATCACCGTGAAATTTAGGCGTTTTTCGGATATGTTCATTCAGTCCATCGACATTGCTGAAAAACTCGAACATACTGCTTCCGACCATGTGTAGTTCCTTGCCGTATTGTTCAAAACACAGCATGAAGTACTCCATGCCTAGCCCAGCCATAAAGCGGTTCACCTCCAGCCCTGCGGGAGAAACGATAACTTAGTTTATTTTAATAACTATCTAGAGAGCGAAAAGTGGACAAAAAGTCAATCAAGACCATCAAGTACCATTCACAAGGGGAAAAAAGTGAGTGGTTATACCACTCATCCCCTGTAACCTCTCATCGAGCAGAGCACGCGTCATTGGGAATCACATCGCACTTTTTCTTTACATTTATGAAAAAAGACAGGATGAAAAAAGAACTCAATCATTCTCATCCGTGTATAAGAGTACTTAGAGTGTCCATCAGATCTCATCTGATCTGAAAGGTTTGGATTCAGTCATGTATTACTAATATTCATATCTTTAAGCACAGGTTTCTGATTGGGTTTTAAGAAGGTCATGATGTGTTTGTGTTTGAATATTTGACATCTATATTTTATAATATTCTTACTTTGACCTTTGGACATGTTATGCTTTAAAATTAGGACTATGTCTTATACTAGTGAGTGTGTGAGTTTGACGCCCTTTATAATATTTATCCAGTTCTATATATGCAGTTCTCTTGGTGAAATCCACGAGTACGGGTAAGGTGCTGAAGAAACCTAGAAACATAATCTGGGCGAACTGGGATTCGAACCCCATTCATAGGTTTGTGGCGTGCTCAAGGGACGCAACTCTGCACAGAGAATCGCAGCGCCTAAGACGACTTGGCTATCTGTGCCCCCTGTCTTATATACGTGTGAGTCGCTTAAAATTCTATCAAACAAAAGACCCCTTGGAAAACTGCCCCTCGATAATGTAGCGCATACCATAAATAACCTTTCAGTTTAACACTGTATTCAAATCCCCTGGCAAACGTTATGAATATATCATGTGTTATTTAGTTTCTTTTATTATTTGCTTTAACGCATTTTGAGAATATTTTGTATTACCTTCCTCAGGTACCTGTCACACGTTGTATTACAGGGGGCAGTTTTCTTACAATCTTTTATGTTTAAGAGAATTTACTTTTCTTACAACGCGTGAAAGTGTCGACTAGCAGTCTGTATATGTAATTCCCCAGTTGCACTCTAACCATATATTATGTATAACACCCAGTCACGTCTTCTACGCTAAAATCTACTGAAAAAAAGATTCCATGGCACCAAACACGATCCAGATTGACGCGGATTGGTATACATTTGTAATTTGACGACTGTTAAATGTAATTCACTCTAAGATCACCGCTAAATGATTCATCACTGAAAGGTCTCGACCCACGTGCCCATTAACACGTAAATTACTCTCAGAGGATGAAGGAAAGACAACAACGATTGTCCCGGGATTTGTTTAAATGTTCACTTCTTCCACTCCACGAAGTGTCCGCGTCTAAAGCACTCAATGTTGTTAAGACCGTAAGCACGATTGCTATACGACCGCCTATGTGATCGACAGTGTTCAAATTCTCAGCTCGGTTTACATTCAATTTGTGTATATTTACTGTATCTCTTGACATACAACAACAGTCTGAACACCGTGACCACAGTACCAAGATGCCATTTCCATTAGAAGTTGGCGTGGCCTTCACAGCCAAGACGTCTTCTTAAAGGTCAAGTGTAGATGAATTAGACGTCTTAAGCGCCGTACACTCTGTTTGATATATGAATGTGATCTGGTTACTCTAAGTGCCATTTACTTCAAAGTGGTAATTATTCTCCAATCACTTGAAACATGACGATATTGGACGAATATTGGACGTGTGTCCAGACGTTTTGTATCTAAGAAGGACGTCAATCTCACAGCGGTCAGGTAACGTAGACACGTTAAGATGTGTTGAGGATGTTACAATAACGCCAAACGAGAAAAAAGTATCAACGAATAATTACTGTTTTAATATTGTTCATATACTGCTTATCGTTTAACGCCGCTGCCATATTACATCTATACCACGGTGTACTAAACAAAAAATGCTGTCAGTAATGATATTCAATATAATAAATACAATAAATAATTTCTGAATAAACAGTGAATCGCATCAAACAAGATATAACGTCAACTTAAGAAACAAGTGGAAGTCTAGCTTCATCAGTCAACCCAAAAAATCTACACATAAAATATGGCAAAAACAAACAAACCACAAATTGAACGTGTCGAGCCCAACTACAAATTACATATGTACCAAACATAAGGAAATGTTGAAAATAAATATCAGGGTGAGGCTGTAAACAGGTTATTCAATATGGCTACCGTGGCGGACATATTTAAAATCAGATTCAGATTAAGAAGTACAGCTTTATTGGTCCAGTCGTTTCTCGGAAGAAGATGTTTACGACACGCACGGACGCCGGAAAAAAGGCCATGACATTAGCTCACGTGCCTTTCAGTCAGGTGAGCTAAGAGTAAGTAAGTGAGTATAGTTTTACGCCGCTTTTAGCAATATTCCAGCAATATCACGGCGGGGGACACCGGAAAATGGGCTTCGCACATTGTACCCATGTTGGGAATCGAACACGGGTCTTCGGCGTGACGAGCCAACGCTTAAACCACCAGGCTATCCCGTCGCCCCAGGTGAGCAAAGAATCATTCAACGTATAATTCTTTAATAGTGTTTATCAACATAAGGTACCATGTCAGAGTTGGTAATCTTAAAATAAGGATTTATTCCTTCAAGTTTATTTTCTGACTCCCCCTGAAGGAAATTTGATTAAAAGCAAACACTTTTCTGTCACATTCCATGGAAACATTCGCTTCAGGATAATGAGTCTTGTAATGGGAAACATCGTTCACGAATAACAGGATTCCACTGGCACCGTCTGTTTTTAGCTGGTATTTATAAACCATATCCCTAAACAAACACTTCGATCATATAGATAGACCAAATAAACAAACCAAAAGCCGTTTTATCTCCCTAATGTGCGAGTATTTGAACCATCGGTTGGACATAGATACATCGCTTCTCATGATCGTTCTAATCAAGGGACGCAGAGTTCTTTTAATGTATGTTTTCCTTGTGAGAGACGCCCATTATCACTTCATGGCGGTAATTTGGAAGCTAATCAAAAGGTACTATCTACAATGCTCTAATTCCTATATAGAATCATAGGCATTCATCATTCCTGTCACTTGTGATAAACGTACCATCGATAACGTTCCATTACAGTGGCAATACATATTACTTGTTTCGCTACATTATTACCCTTCGGTAGGAACTGTTCACGTGGAAAATCGTCAATACCTTAAGTGTAACTTCTTCCGGTTTCACTTCAAAAAACGAGAAGGGCACCACTATCATAACGTCTATGCTTTAACATACACAGGCTTTTAAAACTGGTTTATCGTAGGAAGTTCGCGTTCTACATCTTAGTTGTTATGACGGACGTTCGTAATAATGACTCCAGTCTATTGTACAATGGAATACCCAGACGCACCTTCGTTGCAAGGGTCACATTTGACCTCTAATAATGTCAGCATGTCAATTACCAGAGAGCGGAATGACACTGCCACAATATACAATGTATAACTATTCGCTAAACCTGAATCAGAACTGGTCCCTCTAGGCTGGGTAAAGCAATTTATTCCAGATAATTGCAAAACACTGGTTTGGTTTTTTGTCGTGACATGGCTTGTCCTATTTGTCTTCTTATTGCGCTAAAATTCAATTGCAGTCTTCATTTCTGCAGCAACCTGGTGCGAGGAACTATTTGAAAAGAATGAAGACAGAATGGTCTCCACATTGGCAGAAATGAACCAATTTACAATATCACTATCTGATTGCCGCCCCAAGCGCCAATACTGACAACTACCAACTTGATGAAAATTGAAACATGCAGAGCTTGCTCCTAACCCCGAAGAAGTAAAGGTTTCAATGGAAAAAACGCGAAGCATCCAATAACACTAAACGGCTACTCATAGGCACATTGTCACCGTCATGTTTGTAGAAACGTACCGTTAACATTGTAAAAAGGTTTCTTCACAGGGCGAAACAACGTTATGGCATGTTTGTATACTAATAGAAGGTTGGCTGGTTGGTTGTTAAGTTTGTTGTTTAACGCCGCACTCATCAATATTCCAGCTATATGACGGCGGTCTGTAAATAATCGAGTCTGGACCAGACAATCCAGCGATTAATATCATGAGCATCGATCCACGTAATTGGGATCGATGACATGCATCAAACAAGTCAGCGAGCCTAACCACCCGATCCCGTTAGTCGCCCCTTCCGACAAGCATGGTCGCCTTTTACGGCAGGCATGGGTTGCTGAAGACCTATTCTAATCCGAATCTTCACGGGCATAATAGAAGGACGGTAATACTCAGCGAAAAGATGTTGTAAACCTATCAACAAAGTCCTTTTGGATTTGAATCTCATTTCAAATACCAGTATTGAACCATTACATCTAGTGATTTAAAATATTTATTATTATACCAGGTGTAGTTATTTTAGTCAACTTACCTAGGTATTCAGAACATACTTCCGCCATGCGCACAACCAGGTTGTCATCGACCTGACTATGACGTAATGTCAGGTCACTGCACTGGATATCAAAGTCGGTGGGGAAGAAATCTTGGGACCTGCAAGAAAATGAAGTTGCTTTTACAGGTGTTGATCTTACGCGACTGAAATGTGATTTCTGGTATTGCATATGTCTATCTATGATAACAGAGAAGAAGCGAATGTTGCCCAAAACTAGTGGTTGCTATTATGAGCATCGCCACATGACGTCAATTACAGACCAACATCCTGACCTTGCGACAAACCCCTTTTCTATCCCGGAATCCTTACGCTGCCTTTGCTAACAGATCTATATTACAATACAGCGGATTTTATTAAAAAACATTACCACCATAGTCCAATTATCACCGAAATTCCTCCGTGGCCTAGTGGTAGAGCGTCCGCTCGGAGAGCGAACGGTCCGGGGTTCGATCCCCGGCCGCGTCATAACAAATGACGGCATGGTATTTCAGTGGGCTAGCACTATAAATCGGCATCAGTCCGGACTAGTACAAGCAGCCACACGTGCATGCACGTCCTTATATATGTGCAATAATCTTGGACGTGACGTTAAACCCAATTTCACCTCACCTCACCTCACCTAACCTCACCTCACCTCAGATGTGAAATGTGCACATGTTCCACAATATTTATGAAAAAGATACCCAGACAACGTATGACAGAATTATTTTGAAACATGTGCACTTAACCAAACAAAATATACCAAGGAAGTGCACGAGATGTCAAACACGACAACAAACAAGATGGGTGGAATACCATTTAATATCCATGTAGAAACAGTAACGTATATATCAACGAGCAAGAAAAAATAACAATCGCGAGGTTAGTCAATAATGAGTTAGTATGGTTTTATGCCGCTTTTAGCAATATTCCAGCAATATCACGGCGGGGGACACCAAAAATAGGCTTCACAATTGTACCCATGTCGGGAATCGAACTCGGGTCTTCGGCGTGACGAGCGAACGCTTTAACCACTAGGCTACCCCACCGCCCCGGTAAGTCTGTATAAGTCAAATGACACCGTACGATATTTCAGAGTCAATATTATGTTTCATCTCCTGTCACAATTAAAGTGCCTAAATATAAATTGAAACAGACCCCTAAAGCGTCGGTGAGGTGAGGTGAAATTGGGTTTAACGTTATATAGCGACGTGCGTGCACGTGTATTTGTGTGTGTGGCTGCTTGTACTAGTCCGGACTGATGCCCATTTATAGTGCTAGCTCACTGAGATACCATGCCGCAGTTTAACATGAATACCCCACTCAGACACAGTAGACTGACTCCGAGCCGACCAGTCCTTGTTTTAGCCCCTTAATGCCGAGCGCCAGACAGGGTAACAACAAGTACAATCTTTTAACGTCTTTTTGTATGACGCGGCCCGGGATCGAACCCTGGACCTTCCGCTCTCCGGGCGGACGCTCTACCACAAGACCACGGAGGCGGTCCCAAAGCGTCGGGTTCACATACCGAACATTAGGTTACAGTTATACACTAAAGTACGTTTGTAACGAAAACGCTTATAACCAAATGACCGATATAACGAACTTAAGTTTTAGTCCCGGGCATTTGTTGAAAAATGATGTATATATGCTTATAACGAACTACGGTTATTACGAACTAAAATTAGTGGTCCCTTTGAGTTCGTTATAACCGTAGTTCACTGCATTTTGTATTGTCCTGCTGGACTATGTTCGTCAACAAAGGTCCTTCCAATTGTAGAAACATTACTCAGAGATTCTGACGGAACCGTTAGATTGATTCCACTTTTAAACCTTACTGCACTGATGTAATGACGTAATTGAAATACACTTGGAACGGTTTGGGATTTCAGATCAATCAGCATGAATAACTGTGAATTGAGTTAATCAAATATGACAGTTACAAAATGTATTTTTACAAAGAAAAAGAGTGTTTCCCGCGAGTTATAGCTCTCATTCAATACATGTCATTTAATATTTGCAAAATGAAGAGAAGAGAAAAAAAACAAAGAATTATTACGATAAGCTGTCGCGACAGGATCTTTATGATTAATGTTGAGTGGATGCACGTGGCGTAAACCATTAAAGGTCCTGGCATTATCAAACTCCTCTTAAATGTCTTTACAGCACGTTGGAGGCTAATAGACCACGCATTCCTCGTTGCATTTCCAGAGCAGAACAAAAACATCTCCATCTACTATTACACAACCACCATATACCTGTAGACAGCCACCATATACCTGTAGACAACCACCATATACCTGTAGACAACCACCATATACCTGTAGACAACCACCATATACCTGTACACACCCTTTACATAAATTCCCAAGATCACAACATACTTCCACACATCAACCGTAAGTCACATGTCACATAACACATGTCTGTTCATTCGTTCATCACCAGCAGATAACCGTTTCTTGCTTGTTTCATTGTAGCCACCATCAAACATGGGTGTATACCTTAATGAGTTTTTAGTTTAGTTATTAAAAATTTAACATCACAATCTAGACCACTAAATGATCACGCATCTGTTTAACGTTTATAAAAATGTCATACGCCACCACAACGTTCTTACATGAGTTTGGATAAACAACTGAGCATTGATGGTAAATGCTTCTATAGTGATTGTACAAAAATACATCAGTTTTATCTGTTCAAGGAATAATAAGGAAGTAGCGTGAACGTTGCCAAGCGTGTCTCCAGTTAACACTCTCTAACGGTGCGGTATGCCGTGACACGCCGGACGATTGGTTCTCTGGGGCAGAAAACAGATAAAGTGAGGAACATGCAAATCTATCCCCCAGGTGGTACCACATGCACCGCATCAAGCGCAATCAGCAGTCATTAGCTTCCACGATGTACACTATAGCCGTTATTAAAGCAGGATTTGTAGCTGTGTGTTCCTTCGACCACCCAAGGCTAAGTTATAGGTGCTGTATTATCAGATTATGCACTGATATGGTTAGGAGATGACGAGGAGGATTTCCGTTGGTGTCCCGGGGGAATTCATATCAAAAGACCTTGTTAACCACGAAGGTCTTATAGAAATGTAAACACGTACAAAGGGTAGCATACAGATTCAACAATTTGTTGCAAATTAACAGGGCATACAAATAAACGTCATTAAAATGGCTAATGTGACGTTAACGTACTATACAAGACGGTGGCGTGGATGAGTACAAGATATGGTTATGGCCCGACAACAAAATCTTCGAATTTCAATACTTTAAATAAAAATACAAAATAGTTCCATGGTCTCATTTTCTTGCAATTTCTTGTAATTTGGATTTCTATTGTTGAGTGGAAATGTGAAACGTCAACGCCGGATAATAACCGATCTGGATGCAGATTACATTTGGCGTAAAATGCAAAATAGCGATGAAAATTATATGAATGGATCACTGAACACCAGGTATTCGCGAATAGGGTATGGTGTGCGGTTGATCCTTGGTTTCTACATACGCCCTAGCGGGGGCACGGGTGGCCCAGTCGTCTAAGGCGCCGCAATTCGCTGTGCAGAGTTGCGTCCCTTGGGCACGCCAGAAACCTATGATTGTGGGTTCGAATTCCGGTTCGCCCCGATTATATTTCTAGGTTTGTCAGCACCATAACCGTGCTCGTGGGTTTCACCGAAATGGTAAACGTCTGAGACCTGCATCACTTCGGGCTTTCCTCCCACAGTAAGCTGACACGCCGTGATATAACTGGAATACTGTTAAAAGCGGTGTTAAACCCAACTCACTCACTCACATACACCCAAGCAGCGTGATCAAGGGCATTTTTTACTGCACAAAGATTATAACGAGTGAACAGTCCATACTAGGTATGTGTTAATGTCTTGGCGTTTCCGTCATTGTAATGTTAATAGGATATGTCAAAAGTATGAGCGAAACATTATCGTACAAGTTTTCGAAGAAAAGGTGGGAACTTGGCGAGCTTGGTGACGAGTGCATGAGTTGATTTAACAGTACTGAACAGTATTTCAGTTTTATCATCATGCGTGCGTCACCATGATGTTAGAGAAATTCCCCAAGCGTTGCAGTTCTTAGACGTTTCCCAATTTAGTGGAACCTGAGCATGGGTATGGTGCTGACAAACCTAGAAACACTCAAAGCGAACCTGTTTTCGGCACCATGATCTGGTAGGCCTAAGGAACGCAGCCCAGCACATTATACTGAGGTTGCCTCAGACAACTGGGTCATCCGTGATCCCGAGAGCTAGAAGACAAGATGTGTTCAAATAGCCGTCAGAAAGTAATGCATATGAATGTAGGTAGCTTGATATATCAAAGTAGTCTGTAAGACTAGAATGAAAGCTTTGACGCTAAAATTACCACCAAACCTTCCAGGCAATCTTTAATAAACAATAATACGCATATCACATTTGCCCTTGAGCAACACATTGGGAATGCTACTTTATAGGAGCTGTCGCTAAGGTAACAGCACATCAATTTTTCTTATTTCCGAATAGAATGCAGAAACATTCCGTTTTACTTGATTGCTTTTTCGAAGGTGCGCTTGGATAACTAGTCCACCTCAGAAAACTGTAATCATCGTGATGCCATGGCGTGTGTTTCTAACATGTGTTTTAGTTGCACTTTAGGGGTCTTTCAGATTGACAAAAACATTTAATTTGCTTCGAAATGCTACTAAATCTGAAAACACCTTTCTCCAATGCTCCGAAAATACTCACTCCTTCACAAAACCACAACCATGTAGTTGTATAATGAAAATGGCGTCAAAAAGTTTTAATTTGTTTAAGGAGTTTCGTTATAACTTTAATTTCAACCCTGAGTGAAATAATGGCGTTCTATAAGACACCCGATAGCGCTGACACTTCCCAATTACTGGAATGGTCCAATGTTATCTTGGAGCATGTACCAACAACAGGAAGATTTCTACAAAAAAATGCCGTCGTCTTGATGAACCAGTGATAACCATCAGCACTGATATAATGATGAAAAATGACACAATTATCACTTTGAGATGAGGCTGGGAGGAACTCTGTCTGACGGGGAAGACAAAGAAAACGATCAAATGTGCAGACAGCGATTATCTCAGAGCCGCTGGAATCGACCATTGAGCTGTTGAGTGACATTCCATCTAATGATGATTGAACGATCAGCTACACCCTGAACGTCTTTGCTAACCAAAGATATCTGGTTGTCTTATTCATGTGGCAATGACTTGGGTAACTGTATTCAATAATTGTCTAAATATTTGCTAAGATTACTGCCTTAATCATCTCTCCACTCTTGACATTTTGAGCTACTTGCTACATGAAAAACATGTAGACATACCTTTTTTATAGAAAAACTAAGATGCACCAAAGCAACAAAATTATAATAATTCAAATCATGCGATTTAAGTAAAACAGTGTATGTTTTGATGTGCAAATTTAGACCATATCGGACAGAGAAATGCTCCTTTGTGTATAATCAGCGAGTGTTTTGATAACCTTTGTAAAACCCAATTATAATGAACATATTATTTTCTATGTGCAAAAAGTTTAACTGATTTGTTTTAAACATCATTCAACACACTCCTGGGCCAAATGACAGAAATGGAGATAACACGGAGCAGAATCCATTATGAAACGTTGATAAGACCTCTCAAAGAGGATAAAAAAACCATCTTTCTTCATACCTTAGATTAAGAACTATCTTCAGATGACTAAAAATTTAATTAATTTCAAAAGAGAAATTTTAAGCGATCTATTAATAAATACATGTTTTCACCAGTTTAATCATTCATGAAATAATACGTTATCAAGAGACGAAACAACAGATGCATTTCTCTTAAGAAGACCGTCTTTGATGTTTGATTAGGAACATTCTAATATTATAAAAACCGTCCTGTTGTTTTCTCTCTAGAAAGGAGTCAATTTGTCCTTCGGTAGAAATCCACTTTTAATCTGAAGGCGTCATTACCTTTGATAAACATGTGTTGAAAAATAACCCGTCACGTATCCGAAAATTCCCGAATGACATATTCGCTCGGATTTCACAAAAGAAAAGTACTCTGTGTAACGTGTTCCCTTGATAATGGATTAAACAGTGACCTCTGCTGTGACTCTTAACGGCCGCAGGCCAAGCTAAATCTATAATGAAAATCTGATATGGAAAAATCATTTCTTTTGATAATGCGTTGGACTTTTTCAGCCGCCTTTTAAGTAGGAAGTTTGTTATTTTAGATCACGGCCCCGCTGGAAGCTAAAAGACAGCGGTAGCACTATTTCACAAACTCAGCATCGTGATTAGAAAACACACCTTATATTGTGAAAACATCAAAGAAGCGTAAGGGGTGATCGATAGTAATCGGCATGCTGTGTGTATTACTTTATTTAAGGCTTTGAAATCATAGTTCCCATCAACATTTTGCCAAATCTCAAAGCGATAATCACTTCTGAATTGAAAATTATATTTCAACTACACGCAACACACATTCAAATTACCTCCCTAGAGGGGTAAAACGCTACCGAAAAGTCCAAAACCTTTTGAACAATTAAATAAAAGCGACAAAACCCTTTGTTGGCCACAAGAAATCTCTGCTAAAAGGAGAGTCGTTTTACGATTGGGACTGCTGAAACAGGTTTTAACAGTCATTCTTTGGTAACTTTGATGCGATCTCAAGGACCTATTTAGTCCAAATTCTGGGATTGACATTACAGGTTATTTGACGTTAATTGGAATCGTAATTAAACCAAAGAAATAATGCAAAGTGTTATCATGTTGGAGCGTAATTAGAATAACGAATGTGAAAAGTAGCAATGATCATAACATCAAATACGTTGAAATACTTAGAGGTTTAAGAATACCTCTTAAATAAAGGGTTGACGGTGTTCCTATTCTCATGAACTGTTTGATGTGGAACCCGACACCACCTAAAGCAAACTCACGCGGAGCCAGCATTCTAATTCCTGGAAATAAAGACCGAGAGTTCCGTGGTAGAGCTCTTGACGTGAACTATCACTGCCCGTTAATGGCACCTCTCTTAAAGCACAGTGATGAGACGTGATGGGGCGATGGGGAGGTGGTGTCTGTCATTCAGTCCAAAATTGTATGTGTGTGTGTGTGTGTGTGTGTGTGTGTGTGTGTGTGTGTGCGTGTGTGTGTGTTTGTCATAATGCACACAGTACTACAGCTAAAGACGATCTTGTAGCATTAACGGCGGAGGACATATTTCAGCAATAGTGAGTGAGTGAGTATGGTTTTACGTCGCTTTTAGCAATATTCCAACAATATCGGAGGAGAAACGTTTTTCAGCAATAACGGCGTATGGCACCGCCTTGGATTCACATACTACCTCGTTGTAATCGTACCCCGCTCTGACACACAAGAACAGTGATCATAAGACTACTTTAAAATAACAAATTTCAATCAACACCCAAAAAGTTTATTTTTAAATCGTATTTCGTTTGCAAATGAAGTTTTATTGAATTAAATAATATTGGGAAGGAGTAAGCCATTAGAGACAGCGGTGTAACTGATTACATGGTAACTTGTTGATGAAGCTAATCGCAGAGTCACTCACCAACCCAACCCTGACTCTCTCGATTCAGTAAGGTTGGCAGCGTTCATCAGAGCGCCATCAGACCAACACACGCTATGTATTTAGCCGAGCAGCTGATACTAATGGCAGTAATATGCTGTGTCTATCTCATCCCTGTTTGATAATGGCTTCTACCTGACGGTCCATTTGCTCAGCTGGAATTGGGCACACGGTGAATACCACCACACGACACACAGGTCAGGGACCAGGTACATCCTCTACAAGGGCCAGCAGCTGTTAGTAAGGTCAAGGTCATACGCCTACGTCCATGCCTAACTGCGTTATGACGCCCTTGTAAAAGTTGGACATGGCTTCCTATTAGTGTGCCGTGTGGTTGTATAGTGACCTGATTTGTTAACGTCGAGGCTGAGTTTATCACAAGAGTATCAACATTGACATCAAATGGTCGGTTATAACATGGACGCGTTGTACGGTTTCATGACATTGTATTTCCACCTGGAACACATTGATGGTCTAGCTTCCCACACCATTATCATTCCACGGTAGATATGTTTGTGTTAAATTGTGTCCATTTAATCAGACCACTGATTATATTTATTCTCACCTGAGGTGTTCCATAGCACCTGGCTTTTTGCTGTTTGTAAGCAACTTCTGAAGAGCCGTAAACACAAAGCCATTCTGCAACAAAAGAAGGACATCTGCTATATTGCAAACACACTTGATGGTATCATTGTCAAATGGTAGCATTAGTTGTTACAAAGAAAATATTCTAAATAGGTTAACTGTCGTGCTGGTTAATCAGATCCACCTGAATTCAAGTCTAGTTGGACAGGTATGTTGACTCCATAATTATGTATGCTTTGTAAATACGAGCATTTAGAAATAATATCCTTTCACAAAATGAGTTTTGATTTTGGTTCCTGCTTCCAACATGACCTTACATCTTGTGTGTATCATCGTTTCACCATGTGAGGTGAGGTGAGGTAAAATGGGGTTTAACGTCGCGTTCAAGATTATTGCGCTTATGTAGCGACGTGCATGCACGTGTGTGTGTGTGTGTGGCTGCTTGTACTAGTCCGGACTGATGCCGATTTATAGTGCTAGCCCGCTGAGCTGCCGCAGTTTAAAATGAATACCCCATTCAGACACAGTATACTGACTCCGAGCTGACCAGTCCTTGTTTTAGCCCCTTAATGCCGAGCGCCAGACTGGATAACAACACATTTCAGCATGTACCGCCGTTTGATATAGTGAAATATCAGTTATAACGAAACTTATTTGAGTGTCAAACACACTCCAATTAACAGTGTTAATGTACATGCCTCCTTTGGATGTCATGAAGTCATTCAAGCTACAGTGTGCTACATGACAGTGGAGTGTATGTGTTTTGAAGATATCCGGTATTGGTAATATGAATGTCCGCACTATATTATATATACAGGATTACATTGACCCTGATTAAAATCTAACTAACGCTTTGAATAAATAAAACATAATACGTTAAACTAATAAATCCATAATAAAATATTTCTTTCTTGAACAAAACAATTAGACTAATCGATACGAAACAGGGAAGTGAGTTCTTATCGCAAAGGGACAATCCAACAACCAATGGTAAACATACGTCAAATCAATACGGAAGACCCGTTGTCTCTCCTACGGCAGTGGGCCTCGTCTAAAAAGTATTAAGCGCTCGGTCTATTATTAATTTAATTGATTTTAACCTGAGTGTACTGACTGGTTTTACAGAAGGTTTGCATGGTCCTTGGGGATGATGTTGGTATTCATTTAGCCTGCCGAGAAGATAACAGTATTTAAGATTTGTGTAATTCCAATGTTTGTGCGTAAATGTCTGTAAACATCGTCATCACTGCCGATAATGCCTTTGTATTATGCTGATTGGGGGTTAATGGGGAACAGTTGGTCAGATCTGACATCATTATACAACTAAACCTGGAAATATTCTGAATTAAGGATTTGAGGTTCGGCTTCCTCTCAATTAGTAGTTATTTTTCTTTCAATAGGGACCGCCTCCGTGGTCTAGTGGTAGCGCGTCCGCCCGGAGAGCGGAAGGTCCGGGGTTCGATCCCCGGCGTCATACCCAAAGACGTTAAAAGATGGTACTTGTTGTTACCCTGTCTGGCGCTCAGCATTAAGGGGCTAAAACAAGGACTGATCGGCTCGGAGTCAATATACTGTGTCTGAGTGGGGTATTCATGTTAAACTGCGGCATGGTATCTCAGTGAGCTAGCACTATAAATCGGCATCGGTCCGGACTAGCACAAGCAGCCACACAAACACACACACACGTACATGCACGTCGCTATATAAGTGCAATAATCTTTGACGCGACGTTAAACCCCATTTCACCTCACCTCACCATCTTTCAATAGGGAGTAGTATATGCCTGTCACGACGGGCAAGAGAAAATCATACCTATATTTCATCTGCAGTTGACGCGAACGTCAAAATGTAGTTAGTAAGAATATCAATAATTATCTCTTTAAGAAATGCTCGGACGAATGGATTATCGCTAAAGGTAAAAGTGTATTGTTCACGTGTTGGTCGGCAACTTGATGACATTCACTAAGCAGTGAATGAACGCTGTTAACCGGGCAATTACACAAATAATATATGATCAGTATTTCACAGAAAGAGTTTACCGGTATTGTAGCAGGGAGCGCCCCCTGGCGGGGGAACAGTTGGATATATGAATCTCGGATAAATGGGAAATACCATACGCCAAGGGATCTGATAATGGTGTACCGAATGTGGGGATTCGTTAGGCGAAACGCCACATCTGCCAGCACTATCTCCCTACTACTTCAGTCACGCAGTACAACTGCAACGGCAACGTAACACCGTTGTAGAAGTCGTTACGTTCGTGGCAGGAACACGTTGTAAATTACGATCATGGATCTTTCACATTTCTTCTGGATCGTGTATGTCAGTGGATGGTAGATAATGCGGCGTGAATATGAAAGTGTTACAGAGTACATGCGAACGCTGTGTGACGTGTGTGTTCTGTCTGTAATTGACTTGAAGAAAATCATTATCAAATAGATAAACAATAAACTAAAAAAATGAGAGGAAGAGGGATTTCAATCAATTTGCTCTGCAAAGTTTGTTTTTATAGAAAACAGTTCTCAAACACCAGGTGCACTTCGAAATTGTTTACAGAATATAGATTTGTAAATAAGTAAATACAAACATATCATCAAACATTTCTTTCTTTGATGTGTTCTACATTTGGTATAAATTGAATTTCCACATTGTGCCATTCCGTTCTGTTGGAAATATAATATCTCATACTCCATTCATACTAACAATCCGAAAGGTATCTCTGGCTAAAACAGACATATCCTGTTTCCATATTGTGAAGTAATATCATTGGAATCGGTGGTAGTACTCTAAAACTCCACCAAATACCCTTCTCTTTTCCACTATTACATTGAAGTAATATTCGTCGTTCGTTTTATGGGGGCACGGGTGGCCCAGTCGTCTAAGGCGCCGCGATTCGCTGTGCAGAGTTGCGTCCCTTGGGCACGCCAGAAACCTATGATTGTGGGTTCGAATCCCGGTTCGCCCCGATTATGTTTCTAGGTTTATCAGCACCATACCCGTGCTCGTGGGTTTCACAGAAATGGTAAACGTCTGAGACCTGCATCACTTCAGGCTTTCCTCCCGCATTAAGCTGACCCGCCGTGATATAACTGGAATACTGTTAAAAGCGGCGTTAAACCCAACTCACTCACTCACTCACATACACCGAAGCAGCGTGATCAAGGGAATTTTTTCACTCACTCATTCGTTTTATGTCATATGGTAAAGGCAACCCATCATCACAAAAGTATTTCAGTAGAGACAATTATGTCAAAGTGTTATAGTTCGATGGGCATAGTGGTGTAAGGTTCCATCATAATCTACGCTCCAGCTATGTGGTATGAGAACATGTCTGTACCCAGCCACTTATCAAGCCCCTCAGTTCTACCCGCCAGTATAGTGTACTAAAGCATGTATTGTTATCAACAGTGAGACCTGGAAGAGTTCAAAGTGTTATTAACAACCTAGCCTGACCCTGAGTACAAAAGTGTTAATCTTTATTGGCCACCAATACAGACCTTTATCTCGACATGTCACTGAACTGATCCAATAAAGTACCGTGTTCGTTTCCTCCTCAACCTCCCGTCACATCGGTCAAATATTAGTGTTGTTCTTGACACGATAAATAGACGGTCTATCTTTTTATTGCAAGGTCTTCATACAGGTTTCCAATTTAACCAAAGCTCCCCGATCGTACCAATTGCTGAGAACCAATGGTTTAATGGAAATCCTTGAACTTCATTTATCAAAGGATATGAAAAATGCAGTTGGCTTCCAACAACACATTGTCCGGGGTTTTAATGCAAATCCTTAAAGTACATATATCAGTTGTTTGGCATAAATGCAATTCGTACCAAATGCACACATGCACCAATAGGTTCATGCTAATCCTCAAGCTGTATATCAATTGTTTGAATAAAATGCAATCTGCATCCAATACATACATGCCTTTATGTTTCTTCTGTGCAAAGTCAATAATAATTTTTACCCGCTCAGAGGTAGCTTCCAGTGTTCCCGGGACATGCAATAAAGTCCCATTTACCGGAGTGGGCCGGTGACCTGTGCTGAGTGCAATGGAGATTGAAAACATGGTTACAGTTTGAAAAGATTGAGCTGTAATTTTAAATAAAATGAATTGCGGATCCTTTTCTAAGAAGTTGAGCCAGGTATTTCAGGAGATCGAAGGATTAAACGACTTTGGGTACCAGCATCTGCCTCCTTGTATTTGCCTTTGAAAGTTTTTCATCAACAGCTGAGGCAAACAAGTGTGAATGATTTACTAGTAAGGTATTAAAAATACAACCCCATGCTTGTCAACTGCAGACAGAAGACCGACTCAACAAGGTGACGGAGAGAAGATTAAAGGTTTTTGTTAAGGAGGACAACATCAATTTCATAGTCAGTTTCCCAATCCGCGAATTCCATTCCTTCAAAGGAAATGCAACCTTTGTTATAGGCAAGCTATTGTTGAAAGAATTCATCGCACGCATATTTTGCCACTGAATTGAAAACAGTACTGTTATGACGATATATAACATTAAAAGGTTGTCGATAAAGGATACAACATTCCAGGCCGAAATAAAGCTTTCAAAACGTTTTATGGTAGACATGCGGAGGACATTTCCACATTTGACGCATCTGTGACAAAAATGAGGTCCGATGCAATTCATTATTTTGACTTGTACCATATGTTGCCGTGTTGTTTTCAGGTGAACATTGACTTGCCTTCGCATGTGTTTGTGACGGGTGCCACCGGTGGGGCAGTATAAACGCACCTAATCGCGTACACCTGGTATCATCACTATTTGATAGTGAGTCATAAACACTTGCTTATGATATAGTCGGAATCGTACAATCGACTCTGCTTTAAGAAGAGATTCCTTACGAATATGGCAAGGGATTTTTCGCTTTTATTTAGGAATAATAAAAAATTCTGCTGTGACGGTACTCATAATTCCCCCACTGCTCGGCCTGGCTCAGACAGACAGACATAAAAATATAAGGGTAAAGCAGGAACAGAGCTGACTGTCGCGTTAAACTGCGTTCACTTAACACCTATCTCGAGATTCTGATTG